AACCTTTTTAACAGGATATATATATATATATATATATATATATATATATATACTGTATATTCATTTATATTTTATAGCAAGGTATTTAGTAAATTTCATTTGGACTACGACATTGTGTTAACATAGCGTGAGTTGTGTGCCTCTAAATTACCCTTGTCTCCTTCTTCATTTTCTTTCCTCCATTATTTAAAACCACTCAAGCTACTTTTTTCCCAGTGAACTTGTGGCTCTGTCACAGAGTGCTTCTGACCTTCCCTTTACCCTAACTTCCTAACTTGCTAACCCAATCCCTTTCATTGTCTCCCTCCGTTTCATTTACATTTACGTGTATATTTAATCGTTCAGCGGATGCTTTTATCCAAAGCGACTTACAAATGTGGAACATCACAAGCAATTTGTCACAGAAGACAGGAGCCAAAAATATATGCAGTCCCACATTGCAGAGTTTCAAGAGTACGCTACAGTATTACAGAAGCTGGAGCAGAAGTGAAAATTCTATAAAGTAGAGAAAAGAGAGATTTATTTATGGGAAATGGCTTTTTTTATTGTCATAGTTTAGCCATGCTTACAAAAATTTGTCTTTAGCTGTTTCTTGGAGATTGTGATGGTCTCACTTTCTCTTTCTTATTCAGAACTATGGACTAGAAACAGAGAACCTGAAGACTCTGACCCATAAGCTGAACGCGTCAGCTAAGAACCTGCAGAACTTCATAACAGGCCGGCGGAGGGGCGGTCACTATGATGGCAGAGCCACCCGAAAACTTCCTAATGACTTTCTGACCTCTGTAGTGGACCTCATCGCTGCCGCCAAGAGCCTGCTGGCTTGGTTGGATAGGTTAGTCCCGCAAAGAGACACAAACACAGCCCACAACAAACACAGATATATGTACAGACACATTTTCAAATTCATTAAACTGTGCAGCTGCATATATAGTGGCCCTAAAAGTATTTGAACACCAGTACTTTAATGATTAATTATTGTTTTAATTATTATTGTTTAATTATTGTTAATTAAAACTAAAACTATTTAAAGTAGTTTTTGTTAATTGAAAATGAAATATAAATATGAGATGAAAAACGTATACAAAAATTTGAAATGTTGCATTGGCAATAACTGAAAAAAAAGTTGAAATGCTAAAATGACTTAAACTGATATAAATAGAAAATAAATTAGAAATATTTAATAAACAACTAATAAAAATTATAAAAGGCTTAACACAATTACTTAAACTACAAAAAATTAAAACTAAAAATATAAAAATTCAAGCTAATAATAAAAGCTTTAGCCACACTTAATTTATGGATGTTTTTTGCATTATTTCACAAAATACTAAATATCAAAATGGTATTTAAAGAAAGATAGCACAAGCACAAGCACATATTTTTGCAAATAAAAAATACTTTATTGATGATAAAACAACACATTATTCACACATTCATTATTATTTGATGTTTTAAATTCATAAATTCACAGCGTCCAAAAGTGTCTTTTAGGGCTCCTGTATTTAGCAAACACAAAGTTCAATCAAAGCAGCCTTAGTGATCCCGTTCCTTTATCTACCATGCGTACGGTCACATGACCCCTTATCTCATCTAAAAGGATCCATTGTTTTGAACTCATCAGTGAGGTCATGCGAGAGGCCACAGATGACACGATCACGCCGATTTCCTTATGTAACACCCATGAGCAATCAGCTGACAAACAAAAGATGAGTAAAGCGCTTACGTAAGTCTCTTCTGTTTCGGAGGAGCTGGCCCTGAAAGCAGCCAGCGTGCCTGCTAAGCGCTTCTGTTTATCTCTCAAGTGTGTGCGCGAGGTCGCATTTTGTGGGTTTGCGTTAATTCCTTCATCAGCTGATGCTTTAGCTGGCCACGCCTCCTCGTTAGTGCAGTACGCCAAGTCTACTGTGTAACCGCACACTCATAATTCCAGAGTGCAATTAATCTGCTGCTGTATCTCCCTAGAATATTCCTGGCCTCTGGGTCTCCCTCATTTATTCTCACCAGACACAATGACAGCAGGAGTGCAGTCCTGGGTGATCAACTTTCGTTTGTTACAGTCTTATTATAAAGTTTAAGATAACAACCCTGGAGTCAGATATGTGCACTCAGTGCACTCATAAATATAAACGATGCCCATGTGCTTTCTTCTGTAGAGAAGATTTCCGTGATACTGTTTGCAACATCTAGTCGACTAGTTGATTAGTTCTTTTGCTAGTCGATGTCTTGGGTCAGTCACACTAGATATCTGATATGGTTCATTTGGATTGTTCACATACAAGTTTCATGTGAACCAATCTAGAACAAATTAAGTTGACTGAAACTATAAGCAGGAGATGGGTGTTTTGCACCATTTATGATAATGTGTCATGAAACACATTGAAAGAAAACACGCACACTTGTACAGTGCATGCACAATTGTTTTCTATTTTAATATATTTTCAAAAAATTAATTCCCGTGATGGCAAAGCTGAATTATTAGCATCATTACTCCAGTCTTCAGTGTTACATGATCCTTCAGAAATC